TATTTTCTCCAGAGCTTTTAGCATGAATGAATGTTGAATTTTATCAAAGGCCTTTTCTGCATCTGTGGCGATAATCATGTGATTCTTGACCTTGGCTCTGTTGATATATTGGATTACATTTATTGACTTACGTATGTTAAACCATCCCTGTGTCTCTGGGATGACCTATGTTTAACTTTTGAGGAACCGCCGGACTATTTTCCAGAATGGTGCTCCATGACAGTCATATTTATTTTATATTATTACTTTATTTTTGAGGCTTGAACTCAGGGCCTTGTACTCTCTCTCTCTCTCTCTCTCTCTCTCGTCATTCTACCACTTGAGCCACACCTCTACATCTGGCTTTTTGCTGTTTAATTGGAGTTAAGAGTCACAGAGTTTTCTGCCTAGACTAGCTTTGAACTTTGATCCTCAGATCCCAAGCTCCTGATTATAGCCAGGATTATAGACATAAGCCATCAGCACCCAGTTGTAATTGCTACCTTTTTTTTTTAATCTTAGCTGTTTAGTGGAATCTCATTGGGCTTTTATTTGCATGTTATTTGCGTGACTAATGATGCTGAGCAGCTTCTTATGTACTTTTTGTCCATTTGTAAGTCTTCTTTGGAATAGTGTGCCAAACACTGTCATAAGAGCCAGACCGTATCACCCTCGAAGACAGTGAGATTTAGAAGAACCTCTGCAACATGTTGCTCTTTTTCCTTTTCTGTTCTTTCTTTGTAGTACTGAGTTTGAATTTTAGCCCTTATTGTTTTAATTTAGCCCTTGCACTTGCTAGGCAGGCAATCTACCGCTGTTTGCTTTTAAGTATTTTTCAAAGGAGGTCTCACATTTATGCCTGGATCAACTTGGACTGACATCCAGCTCTAGCTTTTTATTGGTTCATGAAAAGTCTTGTATGATTATTGTCCAGATTGTCCTTGAACTAATCTCTGCCTCTCAAGTAGCCAGGACTACTGAAGTGAACCTTTCTGCCTGGCCTTGGAACTTGTTGCCCTGTAATACTTAACTAGGACTTGGAGTCAGAACATCTTTTAACATTTTCCTTTGGTGCTTTTTCCTTAGACTCAAAATGAGGATAATAATTTCTGTTCTGCTAGTTTTCAAAGAGTTTAGATGGGGTCAGCTGGTAATTCAGTAAACAGCTCCAACCTGACTTTGTCATAAACAAGACATGTCCTTGAGTCATTTAGCATCCTAGGGGAAGCTTGGCAAGCAAACCGAACTAAAAATTCAGTATGAGGCATGTATCAGTCAGTGCTATGTACATATCCATGATGGTCGTTTTCTCTTGCATCTCAAAGGAAACAGCAGAAAAGACCAAGAGGATGAGCACCAAAGAGACCTAAGAAGAGATGTATAGGTGTAGCGTCTGGAGCCCAGCGCCATCTTTTGCACAGCGCCAAGTCCAGTACTCACCAGTGTCTGCCACATTCGCTACATCACCAGTATTTGCTTCCATAGCAATGAATTTTTATCTTGTTTTATTTGTTTTGCAATAAAGGAAATGGGAGTGGCTGGTTAGGAAGGGAAGGGCCTTGTTTCTAAGAGTGCTTTAAGGGAAACTAAGCAGGGCCCTGGGGCTGGAGGTAAGTAAGGAAACTGCATGGATGGGGAGAGGAGCAGACCCAAATCTGAAGGCTAGCAGCTGTGATCAGGCTGCAGGAAGAGCATGCCATGTCCTAAAGGACTGGGCAGCTGTCCTACAGAAGGGTGGAAAGCTCAGTGGCCAGGAACACATGTTGCTTTGGAACCTGCCATCAATGCTGTTCCCATGACAGACCTCCAGCATCTCTGCTTCTCCCATCCTCCCAACTCCAGCCTCTAGATACACAGCCCTCCTGCTGGTTACCATATCTCTCAGACTTGGATGGAGTTTGGGGGGGACCTGTGCCCCAATGATGCAAATATGTACTCCCTCTGAGCCATTAAGAGACCTAACCAAATTGTTTAAATACTCTTTACCAAAGGTGCTATTTCTCTGTAAAACACTTTTTTTTTTTTTGGTTTGGCAAGCTGACTTCATTCTTCAAGTATCAATCTATTGTTGTTGTTTTGTAATATTTTATTTTCTTGTCTAGCTATTAAGCGTTTGTAATTATTTTTCAGTAGTCCTTATCATTTCAGAGGTGGAAGGCATTCGGTGTCATCAGTGGTGTAAGCACCCACATAATCCAGCCGCCTCCCCCTCCCATCGCATACTAGATTAGATGTAGCCCAGAGTTGGCACATCTACCTGGCTTCCAGCAGGTCAGTTGTGTGCCAAGAGGGACAGGGAGGGGGTGTTTCAGACAGAAGCCAGGGGAAGAAGAAACATCATGTAAGGCTTTCAAGATTCAGAAGTTTGGTTATTTGTTGTTTTGTTTTTGTTTTCATTTATTCTGAGAATATCAGGCCAGTCAGCATGCCAAAGTATGGAGGCTTAGGATATCCTGGCCTGCTAACATGCTTATGGATCTACCACTAACTAACCCAGTGACTTTAACCCTGTCTCCTCCTGTTTCTGGGACTCAGTTTCCTCAGTAAGCTAGTAAGAATGCATTCATCTTCCTATGTGATAAATGATAACTATTGTAACTCAGTCATTGGTCCATAGGGAGATAGGTTCTTGTGATTTTTTTTTCTGCATCTTCTCAGGATAAATGAAACCTTATTGGTATAACAAGAAGAATCAGCCAGTCAAAGGCAAGGTGACCAAGTTTGACCTCAGTGTGAATGACCCTTGCAAGTTGTGTGGGAATGTGAGGCCTTCCTGGGAAGAATAGGAACAAACTCCCTCACCTCCCTACAACTTGTCTTCAAACTGCACCTGTCAGCACCAGCACTGGCTGGGGTCAGAAAGAGCGTTCCCTGTAGAGATGAAAACAAAAGGACGTTTCAGATAATAGGAATGAGAAGTGGAAATTGAATCCAAACCATCGTAGGGAGAAACTGATTGGGGGGTCAGCCCTGTGTCCTTTGCCCTCTTAATTTTGAAGCCCGCTCATTACCATGTCTCATATGCATTTGGCATGACAAAAATCAAAAATTTTGAAGATCTGAGAATAAAACACTTACCAAAAAAATCAGATTAAAGACCCTCAGAGGGAAATTATTTAGATTATACTTCACAAGCAACTGTGAGACAATGTGTGCCGAAATGGAATTCCTTCTAAATAGTTTTCCTTGTTCCCATTTGAAAAGAGAACCTTCCACTTCGAATTTGGAGCTTTTATGAACATCCCATTTAGACACTGAACACCACTTTGCAGTCTGAATGCTGCTCCCTGCCCATGTGCCTTGGAGAACTCACAGAAGCATGCCTTAATCAAAAGAAATTTTGCCAGTTCTTGGACCTGATGGGAGAAGGCAGGAATACTAGTCCGTTGAAAGCAAAAAGCCATGGTATCTCTTATATTTTTTAGAACAGCCATTACCCCACCTTTCCACCTTAAATTGTGAAGAGCAAACCTCCATTTCCTCTTACGTTCTGCTGCTTCTGTGTAAATAGAGCAGCTGTCATCTGCACCGTAGGGACACATGATCTGAGGACCATTCTTGGAAAGCTGCTAAATAGCCTAGTTTGAAGAATCTTGCATAGAGCTTTGCATGAAGCCAAGAGACAGGATTAAATCAGTTTGATTTCCTTCAGCCCTCTAAGAACATGTAAGGCTTAGACTGCAAGCTTCCTGGGCTGTATGTGTGTGGTTTTATAAACACTGCAGTATCTGTGAAGATCCAGTGTCCATGGAAACCTTTCCACAAGCCATGACTAGATTCTGTCACTGTGTTTGGAAAGCAGGGCTCCTCCACCTGCTAATCGGCCCTTGTGAACCAGTCTGAATGTCTTTCCTTTACACCTATGATTTAAATAAGCAAATTTCAGGAAACAATTTGAACAGGTTTCTATTGCCTGTGTGTTTGTGAACATGTATTTGTATTTAGTATGCTTCCACATTGCATTTAACTTGTTTTTGTAATTCCTGATTTTTTTGTTACTATTGATAAATAAAGAAAATAAAATAATAGTTTCATTGTTTTCTTCCCCCTCTCCATGAAAACTAAATAAAATTGTGAACAATACATTTAACCATTTACAAAATAAAGTTGAGTTTGAGTTTCAGAAGCCATAAAATGGGCTAAAGTGTTTTTCCTAAAGAAATCTTGGAGCCAGGTGCTGGTGGCTCATGCCTATAATCCTAACTACTGAGATCTGAGGATCACAGTTTAAAGCAATCCCAAGTACAAACATGTGAGACTTATCTACAATTAACTACAAAAAAAAAAAAAAAGCTGAAAGTGGGGTTGTGGCTCAAGTAATAGAACACTAAAGTTACACAAAAAACATCTAGGACAGTGTGCAGGCCCTGAGTTTCAAGCCCAGGAACAGCATTAAAAAAAAAAAAAAATTCGGAAATAAGAGGGAAAGTTTACTTGGATAGGTAGACCAAGTTTCTTTTAAAGGATCATAGATAGTGGGTCTGGATAGGGGGAGATGAAAAATCTGCGAGTGTCTTGGTCCAGGCAGGCCACAAAAAAAAAAAATAGCGTAGACTGGGTTATTTATAAACAACTTACTGTTCACAGTTTGGAGGCCAGGAAGTCTAAAATTATGGCACAAGAAGATTTAGTGTCTTACAAGGGCCTGTTCTCTGCTTCAAAGAGGCATCTTCTTGCTATATCCTCAAATGGCAAAAGAGATGGTGGACAAGCTCCATTGGACCTCTTTAATGAGGGCACTAATCTCATTCATGATGGTCGGGCTCTTATATCCTAATCATCATCCAAAGGCCTCATCTCTTAAGACTATTGGTTGCACTGGGTATTAGATTTCAAACTACAAGTTGTGAGAAAAGGTGAAGCCAAAATGACTACTAAAGACAGAATTATGAAACTGGACTGGCACCCAATGATGCTGGCTACGGGTAAACCTATCTGAGAAACCAAATAAACTTGGAAAAGTGGGGGAACAGGAACTCTTTGCCAGAAATATATTGGGTAAGCCAGGCTCCAGTCTTTTACTTGTTACCCTAACTATGTAGTAGGCTGATCAGTACAGGCAGAAAAGTCCAAGAGAGTCCATCTCCACAGAAGGAAATACAGTAGAATAACCAGTGGAAAATGGCTACAGGCATGTCACAGCTGGTAGAGCGCACCAGTCTAGAAAGTGTAAAGTCTTTGAGTTCAAATCCTAGTAAATAAATAACAAAAATGAATTGGATAACTTTACTGACTTTTTCTTGATATGTATATCTGTGGAATAAACATTTCCAAGCAGACTGAATATTGGGCAGTGTTCTGCCTTCATACAACTACTTAAAGATAGTAAAACTACAACTGTTTAAAAGATCATGTTCTGCTCTATCTTGAACATATAAATAGTACTTGCTTTCTAACGTTCTGTTTTCACAAAGATGACACTTCACTTCAACTAATTCTATCTTCCAATGTAGATGATAAATAAAGCTTGAACTTTTTTTTTTTTTTGGTGCTAGTTCTGGAGCTTGAACTCAGGATACTTTCTCTGAACTTTGCTCAAGGGTAGTGCTCTACCTCTAGAACCACAACTCCACTTCCAGCTTTGGGTGGTCAGAGATAAGAGTCTCACATAAGAGTCTCCCTGGCTGGACTGGCTTCAAAACAAGATCCGCAGCTCTCAGCCTCCTAAATAGCTAGAATTACAGGCCTGAGCCACTTGCACCTGGTAACTTGAACTTTTTAATTTCAGTCTTACATAGAAGTCTTGATTTATCTTGGTTGGATTTGGGCAATTATTACATTTTAGAAGGCAATCTCCTTATTGTCACTGATTACTCATCTCATCACAGTGTGACTCTTTTAATATTTCAACCTCAGAAGAGAATTTTAGAGCCAGTTTGATGGAAACCTTGTCCATAACCACTTTTAAATCCTACTGGCTTCTGTCAGCCTTCCACCAATCTTTGGAAACATCTTTCCTATTGTCACAGTGTGTATGTGTTTAGGAAATTAAAATCTTAAAGAGGCTGAAGTTTTTCCTAAGGAAATCTTAGGACTAAGCTGGGAGGGAAAGGTTACTTGGTTGGTAAAATGAATCAATTTCTTTAAAGTGATTATAGATGATGGGTTAGCATAGCCTGAATGAAGCATATTATTAAAGGTATGTTTCATAGCAAGATTTTATATCATGAAGTGCATAATAAGTATATATTCCTTTGAGGAGCTTTTGCATAAAAGCACCTGGTGATCAGTCCTTGGATTATTTCTGAAATAAGGACAGACAAAAAGAATATGAAAATAGATTAATTCAAATAGATATTCCAGAGCCCTGGAATGAAGCCCTCTGTTTGGACCTTCCAATCCTCATCTGTGAATAATGTATGTTCTGTATTTATTTCCTTCTTAGAAAGTTAAGTGGTATTTCAAGCTGTTTACCAAGTGCCAGTGGTTCATTCCTATAATCCTAGCCAGTGAAGAGGCTGAGATCTTAGGATCACAGTTTGAGGTAGTCCAGGTAGAAAAGTCCATGAGACTCTTATCTCCAATTAACCACCAAAAAGCTAGAAGTAGAGTTGTGGTTCAAGTGGTAGAGTGCTAGCCTTGAGCACAATAGCTCAAGTACCCAGGTCTTGAGTTCAAGCCCTAGGACCAGTATAAAAACAAAGAAAGTGAAGCTCTTCCACACAACCCTCAGCTTTGCTCATTGTGTACTTGGATCTTGATAAAATCTACCTAGAAACAATTGAATGCACCAAAGTGTCATGAAGATCCCAAAGGAGTTTTGAGAATGCCTGGCACAGGTGCACATGGACAAACATCTATTATTCACCCCAGTATTTTTCAAAAGGATCTTTATCTCATTCTGAGCAAAAGCCAAAGTGGCTCCTTCATGATCTTACCCTGCCCCATGTGTGCTGCTGTGTGCTCCTTCACATTGGCCATGCCAGATTAACACCCCTGCAGTGTTTCTCAACGATATAGACATTACCTACGTGATTCCTTCAGTTCCAAGTCTTTCTCAACCTCAGTGAGGCCTGACTATTGATTAGCACTATTGATTACAATATACATTATTGAACCAACTTTTGGGGGTCCTCTGTGCCAGGCACTGGGGAAGGAACTAGGATTAGCGATTTAACTAAATTCAGTCCCTTTTCTCAGGGAAACAGATCAGCAGCCCATGTGATGTCATGTAACAAAGCTAAGAGATACCACACATTGTTATAAAAACAAGATCAATACTAAGAATCATAAAGGAGTTTTCTGAAATAAAATCTGAGGCTGGACATAGGCTCACACCTGTAATCCCAGTACACAAATGCAGAGGCAGGAAGATCTCACTTTTGAGGCCAGCCTGGGCTCTATGGTAAGATCCTCTCTCAAAGACTAAAATCTGAACAAATAGAATTTACCCAAAGTCAATTCAGGAATAGCATATGTAAAGATTCAGGGTAGGGAGAAGTCAGTAAAACCTGTAGTTCGGACCTGCGTCTGAATCCTACTTTGTTAGTTACTATTATATCCTATTGGACAAATTAGATTCCCTTCTGTAATTATGTTTCCTCATTTGTAAAATGCAGGTGGCCATTGCATTTCATAGGGTTGCTATGAAAAGCAAATGAAATAAAAAATTTAAAAATGTATAATGCCTGACATTATAAAATGCAAAGTGCTAACCTTTGTTTTGGTGCTGGTGGCTATGCCTTCCTACAGAATGAAGACAGCAATAATACCTCTTAACACTGCTGTGTCATTACATGATATAAACATAGAACGATCTTGTCTGTATTGACTGCTGAAGAACAAGCCGTATTGGCCCTGTTTCATAGATTAATGATATTTGTACAGATTGTATCTTGAGGATAATAGGAGCTAATATAAGTTTAATGGCAGGAAAAAGGCAGAATCAGATTCAGTTACAAAGAGCTTTATATGAAGTACAACACAGGTAGGAAGGGACAAGTTCTCAGATCTGTTAGGAGACTATTTCAGAAATCAGGAGAGAACTTGAGGTTATTTGATCATGGGCTTGGAGTTACGAGAAGGCTAAGGAGGTGGTACTGACAAGAGCTGACTCTTGACTAGCTATGGAACAAATGCAAAGTTCTGGCTTGGACAACCTGATAGATAGCAATGCCATTTTCTGAGATTGGAAAGAGAATGAGAGAAGCCACTTGGCTGGCTTGGGAAGGAAGTGGAAGATGGTGATTTCAGTTTTACATAGGATGAGCATGAGATAATCAAATGAAGGTATCTTGTGAGCAATTAGGAACATTCCTAAAGAGATTTGTGGGGAGAGGCCTAAGCTGGGGACTAGACAGGAGGAAATGGCATTTCTGTCTAGGGACAAGATGGCCTAGAAAGGATATAACAAATTAGAAAATGTATTGTTGACCCACGGGGGCCTAACAAAAAGACACCTATCCCTCTCTCTTTAAGACAGGGTCTCAGTATACATCATGACTGCCATTGAATTCACAGCCTTTCTGCCTCAGCCTTCAGAGTGCTGGGCAGGAAATCCTTTTGAGAAACTCTGGATGGTGGTTTTCCCCTGCATCCTTATCAACAAAAAGCACACACAGAAAAACAGCACAACTGGTGAGATTTGAATATGAGAACATTGTGTGTGAAGACTGATAAGAAATGGCACAAGGTCCTTTTAAGAAGTCAAAATCGATGAGGAACCAGCATCCACATGAGAAATGGAGACTCAAATCACAACTGTGCCCAAAAAAGTCAAACAGGCTAGGAGAAAGGAAGAGGAAATGTACCCTGATGGTTATTCCTGGAATACATAAGTTGATAAGAACCTGGCCAATGGTATAGGCCTGTGAAAAGAACATATTGCCTGGGAGCGGGGGGGGG